CTCTTTTTTTTTTTTTATTCTCGAATTTTAAACTAACCTCGTCGATTCTTCCTTCCATTATTTTCTTCTCTCCCGATCCCGCGTAATTTCGATACAAATTTCTATCGAAGTCATCGCCATGCTATTTAAACAGAGTTTATTTGTAAAATATCATCGTAAGATTTAAAGGGAATTCGAGGGAACTCATTGAGAAGAGACTCGTTTTATAAATAACTGCGTTATTGTTTTCATTAAAATTAATAACGCATCGTCATGATATAATATTTATTTATAAATATTAGTATAAGATATCGTCGATAATATAGACAGGAGGAAGTAATAATATATGTATAATATTCAGTTATGTAACGAATGTTTGAAGTATATATATATATTATAAATATTAATACGTAATTTAATATTCAAGAGGTAATACAAAACTGAACTCTAGTGTATTGTAATTCATAGATGTGTTATTTTTGCATATATAATTAGAAACATATGATAATATTTATCTCTAACATGAATGCATTTACATTAAACTACAACAAAACCACTTAGAATGGTATCAATGGTAGCGACATATATTCCGTCTGAAGTAGTGCACGTTTCACAGTTTTTATTCGTTGGGCTTACGAGCATGAAGCTCTTCAGATCGTTTCTACGAACGATTCGGCCTTCCCACCGTACGAAGTTAAAAATTGACTTTATTTCCGAACTTCCACTGGAGATATCGCAGTTAATATTGCGAAAACTCGACCCTGAATCGCTTCTGCGCGCTGCACAGGTGTCGCATCGCTGGTTGAAAGTTTGTCGTTCTGATCCTTGTTTAAAGATCACTGCGAGAAAACACAGAAATGTAAGATCGGCGAGTATAAAAGGAAACAGAAACGATTTCGTTGAACTGCAGGCAACGTCGATTACGTTATCGCAAATGCACGATATGAGACACAATATGAGAAACTTGGTCAGCTTTTATAACTTTTTCGAATATTGCAATAACGCGACTATGAATATGAGCGTGTACAAAATGAACGGATTGTGATGATTTTATGTATAATTTATATCACAATTGAAGTAAAATGGAAGAAAGTTTATACGTTTGTGAGTGCTCATGGACTTAATAATCGATTATATCGTTATATGATAGAAGTAAGTTTCGTGTTTAAATAAAATCTTCTTACAAAACAATAATGTAATTATATATATATCTTTTTCGATTGTAATCGCGATAGATAATACATGAGATAACAATATATGTAATATTTGAGAAATAACTAATGTTACGTGTACGTTCTTCTTTCTTTTTTCCTATCTCTAATTGCTTAATATTAATTATAAATTTAAACAAATTCATTTTTTGTGTATTTCGTATAAAGAATATGATAAGAATAAAGAATAATTCTAATCGATACACTCTTTTATACAATACATTCTTTTATATATTCTTTTATTCCATATCTCGGGAACATTTTATCGTTTGACTAATTGAACATCCCGCACCTCATTCGTTATTGCGCAGGAACAAATATAGAACAAGGACAACAAATATTAAGAGAAAGACAGATAGATTTAAAAAATACTGTTTTCAGCGCCATCTTCAGTGTGCCGCAAATGAAACTCATGGAGAAAGGACAGAAAATAATAGAAGAAGATAGAGATAGAGTAAGAACTGATCGAGAACGCCATCTCTCGAAAATCGAAGACACTTCAAAGCTAAACCGCATAGGATAAAAGGAGAATCGACGGTCAGCGCCATCTCTCTAATTTCCTTCAAACTTATTCTTCGAAAAGTTGTCTCTACTATTGCAGAGATGGCGCTGACGGTCAGTTCTTATCCTATCTCTATCTTTCTCTTATTATTTTCTATCCTTCCTTCGTGAGTTTCGTTTGCGGCACTCTGAAGATGGCGCTGAAAGCAGGATTTTTATTCTATCTCTGTCCTTCTCTTCATATCTATCGTCCTTGTTTGTACCGTACACGTAGCCGACGCGTAACTCGGACGAGATTAGCAACGTATCGCTTAAAGAATTAAATATAAAGAAAAATAATCGATTAATGAGAACAAAAAGGATATATAGATCAAAGAAAGAAGATTATACGCTCAATATAATCGCATAATTTATATTTGTATATACAGTCACTTTACAACGCGTACTCTTTGTTATACAGTATAGCTCACAAATACTTTAGGTCAGCGAACGGCGAATGGTCGCAGTAAAGACGGTATCAAAGTAAAAAAAACTAATTAAGACGATCGCCCTGTCGCGATGGGTGTTCTTCGTGAGAAACAAACAACATTTTGAACGCATTGTACAATCGGGATAGAAATCAATTTATTCTCTCTTATCGATCCTCGTGAGGATTTCTTTCGCTTTGTAAAGATTTTATAATGACATAATTTTCTCGGGAATAAAGGGAAGCTTTAGAGGGAAAAACATCGATCCTGTGATCTCTATCTATATAGGTTGGCAGTTAATTCTCAGGCATATGGATTGAAATTTTTCCTCGCTACTCTGCTTTGCGCAACGATTCCCTTTCGTTTAAAAAAAAACACACAAGCGTCGTGAAATTTCGACTAACGATTTTTCAAAGCGATTCAGGTGTGATATCTTTATTTTTGTACCGTTTCGTCGATTACACATTGTACATCCCAGTTCTTTTTTTTTTTCTTTTTTTTTTTTTTACGATAACATATTTAAATTTTATAAATGTTCAGGACACATTCAGGTTCCAGGTAGACAATTTACATTAACCGCAAAGGAAACTGGTTTAACAATTGCGATCGACAATGAGAATATTTAATATAAAATTAAGATTTTAAAATTTTAGAATCTTTTCTTTTCGCCTTCCTCTTCGATGTAGCAAAAAACTTAATATAGTCGAAAATTTAATAATTAACTTACATATACGTATAATATATAAACGAAACCTACGAATTTCTTTTTCTTAACTCTTACAAATTGAAATACATTCGATAGAAATATAATTATAATAATAAGTTTCGAATCTAATTTTTTCTTCTTCTTCTCCTTCTTCTTTTTCTTCTTCTTCTTCTTCTTCTTTTTCTTTTTAAATATATGTATATATAAAAACGCAGTATATTCGTGAAAGCAACGTCGACGATCGAAATAGATTTCTCTTCATTCTCGATACGAGCAAAAATCGTATAATACAAGCTGAACCTATCCTTTACAATGAAACGTATTTCTTCTTCTTCTTCTTCTTCTTATTTCTTTTTTTCCTTTTTCTTTTCCATTCTCCGAGGAGATATTACGTTACTGGCCACAAATTCGTTTCGATATGTTAAACAGCGATATTCATTGGAAGAATACAAAGAATCACATTTTCGAGAGAGGTGAGGGAGGGGATAGCGGATGAGAGGGGGGGATATGTGACGATATTGCTCGCGATCAATTCAATTCTCGTTAACGAGGAACAATTTGCCCGATAGTCAAAGGCTTTATTAATTATAATACCGAGAACGAATACCGCTTTTCATTTTCAAATTTTTTTTTTTCCCGCGCAATAGATCGACATATATGAAAATGGTATGATTGCTTTCAGAGACGTTTATAATAATTATTATTATTTCGGAAAAAAGCGGTTCGTTTTATAAAAATTGTATAAGCGTCTTTATATTCTTGAACGAACGAACACAATAAAATAGATATGTTTTAAAAATCACCCAACGATCCGTTATGCAACCGTGTCGAAAACGAGTCTTTGATAAATGATTAAGCAAAAAAGTTTGGTCGATCGAACGCTCGTTTTCCTTTCAGAACGTTAGTACCGTACGTCGATAACTTTTAACGTCGAACATTCCCAGACAGAAACGGTGATTATTATTATTATTATTATAATTGTTGTTATTATTATTATTATTATTATTATCATTATCGTTATCATTATCATTATCATTATTTACAACGTCGATCAACGTCGAGATTCGTACGCGACGAATATTATAAACGTATAAACTTATCCACGTCTCAAAGATATGTATTTTATATATCTCGCGCTTAAATTCTAAAAATTACATTCGAAAAAAGAAGAAGAGAAAGACAGAGAGAGAGAGAGAGAGAGAGAAAAAGAATCTTAAAAGTTAGAATATACATATATATATATGTATATATCTCATCCTCGACGTTTTCGTAATTTCAATAATATTCGTTTCCCCATTGATGAAATAAAAACTTTCGATTATTCGATGGATAAACAGAGGCTGGAAACGTTCGACGAGACGAGCGAGAAGAATCTTCGATAGCGTCTCTTTCCGCGACAGATCGGCAGTCGCCATTAACGATTAAACAAAAAAAAAAGGAAAAAAAAACTTAGGCTCCTCTGTTCGACGTCGTTCGACGTCGTTAGATCGTTAATTAAACGGGCTGGGAAGGGGGAGAACACGTTGAGTGTTAAATAGACGATAATAGACGTGGTTTTCATTCGAGCGACGAAGAGAAAGAAACGAAGGAAAAGAAAGGGAGGGAGGAAGGGGGAAGGGAAAGAAGGAAAATTCTTCTTCGTAAAAGGCTGATTCGATGAATCGTTACGACATTATTTACTATTATTAATATTTAGGTCGCCCTTGTTAGATTTGTTTTCAATTTAGGTCCGACTTCACGCACGCCACGCGCGAGCGTTTCTTCCGTACGCGCGATAGCGAAACGTGTATAATCAACTCGTACGTATCGGCGCATATTAATTATATTTACAAATAGTGGTGTGACAGATCCCGATCACGGTGATCATCGGCCAGTCATACGTCACGCTTTCATTCAGACACTCCTTCTCGTCGATCGTTCTTCGATCACACACACACACGTTATCGCATATATATATATTATTCTTCCTATATTTTATCGAGGAGTTCGAATTCCATGGTTTTAATCAATCGTTGGAATCGATTGGAATCATTTCGAGGATAACTATCGATCGTTCACGTTCGAATCGTCACGAAGGAACTCGATTCGAAGATTCGACCGTTGATATGATAAACGATTTATTAGATTAGATCGCGGTTTTATCGCGCGGTTCTCGTCGACCCTGTGTAACATCAAGAAGAAACTTATCACGGTTTTTAAGCATTTTAGAAACTTTCGGGGGAGAAACTATTTTCACGTGCGTGTGTGTCGATGATTGTCGAAACGGAAATGGAGTGTCTTCGAGCGAGGTGAGCTCGATTCATTCTTTAATATTTAACGAGACATTGATCATGATCCACATATTCATTCCGTGGTAGTATCTATCTAAAATTTTCGTCGCATTGGTGTCCATTAAATGGAATGTTGCAATAGTATCATATATATATATATATATATAGTAATCATAATAATATATATATATATCTATTCTTTTGCGCATTTGTAAAAAGCCTTGCCTGCCTAGAAACAACGTTATACGGCGTTCGTATAATTTAATGCGTGTTACGTGTGTTTCCGTGTACGCAAGTGTGTGTACATGTGAATATATATATATTATATTTCGTTCATCTTCT